CGCGTACAGCGATAACGATTCCTACCACATAGTTTAAGCGATCAACGAGGCAAAACAAACAACGAGAAGCTAGGAGGCATCCGAAAATTTGCGAAATCTACCCCTGACAGATAAATAGTTCGCAAAAATGGGTATAAAATGAGTTCCAGACACCCATTTCCCTTCATATTCTGTCCTTGAAAATGTTTTTTTGTTTCGAAAACTAAATGTACTTCAGCAAACCTTTGAGGCTAGTCGTTGTGTATGACCAGGCGTTATCAACCGTAGATGAATGAATTTAGGAACTTCAGAAAGCCTTTTTATTCGTTGTACACTGTGCCTCATACTAATCCACTCATACAAACGGGCACTCATCTCTTGACCTCGGGCACTCATCTCTTGACCGTGATTCCGAGACTCCCCCAGAACAATTGACCACATTTGATAAAAGTGAATTTGTGGAAGAAATCAGTTAGATTTGATTACTTTAATCACACTTACTGTCAGCAACTGCTTTGGTCGTCCTGTGATTGTACACGAAAGTTTTTGAAGGACTGATCGCAATGGTGTTACTTATTACGATTTTTTTAATTATTGAAGGCTCTGAGTGTTTTAAATCTGGGATTTTTCCACATCTGGTAACGAACGGACATTGCTTAGCTGTCCTACAGTGGCTAGAAATCATCACAATCACTAAAGTAACTGAAATTTGCACACTAGTTTAACTTTGTGCCGATAACCTACAATCCGGGCAAACACAATATGTAATATTGCGCTCAGTCAAAAGAAGTCCCAGTGAACTTTTCGGCAAAAGAATACAGATGCTTCATGATCTCTCGAATGTTTGCTTAATATGGACGAAATTAAACCAAATTCAACCACCCAGTTACTTTTGAAGAAATCATTTTTAAAGAACGATAATGATAATGCAGGAAAGAATAGTCTATTCGAAATGTTTCCTCACTGTCTAGCGTCACAAATGTCCAGATTTTAGCGGCTTACAAAGTGTTGCTTCCCTAAACGAAACCTTTGCACTTGGACAGATATGAACTATTAGTTCTCTCATTAACTTACATTGTGGTATTTCAAAACAGCATCGTCGGACAAAAGAGTGAATGTTGTTTCAAAACAATTAGTTTATAAGATATTTACAATAGGGTAACAATAAGGCACACCTAAAGTTTGCCGCTCTTTTAGATGGTATTAACGATAGCACAACAACACAAACCAACTGAAAAAACTATTCGAATTTGTTGCCAATCCATACCAAGAGGCGACCTAGCAGTGTTAGATTGTGGAGAATCTTGATGATTTCATTCATACCCGACTATTGAAAGTGCTGCGAACACTGGTCTGTCATTGAATACTCACTAAAATGTGTTACAACGTAATTAATAAGTGGACAGCTAAACATTTTTTTTAACTCGAATTAGATTTACTCAATTCTGGTGTATTACTTTGCTCTTGGGAAACTGTGCTGAACGTAATTCGCCTTAGCTCCATGCATACGTCACTTTCCACCCTAACACAGAACTTGTTTATATTGGAAGACTACTGACGGGCTGGTCCGAAATAGTCAGCCCTTTTTACAAAGTGGTGCTATGGTTGCACCTGCGGTAAACACTTTTCAGGATCGTAAAAACTTCAAAAATGTAGGCTCTGGATTCGAGCTTGTTCCAAAAGGTAAGTAGATTTTTGTTAAAGTCCGAAAACGCCCTTTTTGAAAAGAAAAATTGCTATTGAAGGAAACTACTCACAAGGTTGCTGAAAACTCTTCGACAGCCCACAATCTGTTTCGACCTTCTTAAGGTTCATCAGGTAGGCGCAGTCCCCGAGTTTCCATCAACCTCATGTTCTACTTGAACCCAAATTGCAGTTTTCGAGAAATACACTTGTGAGTAGTTTCCTTTATGAAAATATACTGCGATATCTCGAATATCGTACCAACTGGAACATGAGGCGGCCTGTGTGCAGCAAGTTCAGTTGTAGAACATCATAAACGAGAGATTCAGTTGAGTCTCTCCTTAGAACCAAATTGATTTGCAAATGAGTGTATTTCTCGAAAAAGTGCTCTGTTCACAAAGAGAATTAATTATGTGACTTCAAATATGGCTCATGTTCGTTGACCAGCTGGTGATCTGCCAGCACGGTGGATTTTCTCAAGCCTTTTGACTGCATTTGGTTCATTTTTCAGTAACGCTAATTGTCTTAGTTTAAGCTGCAACATAACAGGTTAGCAATGATATGATGCAGACAGTTATTCTGAATTCACTAGCAAGACACGAAATATTTTGAAGTTCAAGAGTTCTGCATATTGTTTTAGACAAATAAGCCCATAAAATAAGCAATAATGAATGTGGGACTATGAAACTCCAATTTTGGTAGTTTCCATGTCAATTATGGTAATTACTGTATTCTCATTAAAATGAAGATTTCGAACGAATGAATTCCTCATCCACTACTCTAAGAAGATGCACGCACACAAAACGGCACTAACAATGAGTAATTATTTATTCCTTCGGGGCATAGGACAGCTGAAAATGGAGTCAGTTTCTTCCGTACGAACTTTACTTGCATATATTAGCGAACCTAATAAACTGCCAAGGGTGAATTTGTGCTTTCTGAAGCGTGAATTTCAGTTAAACGGAAAGATAAGAATGGGGTTACTAGAGACACTAATGTTCACGAAACATCCTTGTACAATTCAGTCATCTCCGAGGTAAAGGCCGCACACTCAGCTAGACTATTCTAAAAGTTGCAACATTATTTTTTCGAAGTTACCATCATCAATAACGTACCCATAGGCCTATCGCTCAGTCCTGCAATAGTTACCCTTAATTTGGCAAAATAGTGCAAACAGATTATCAGTAGTCTACGTCCTTCAGCTTGGTTCGACACAAAATAGCTGTTACCCGCACAACAAATGTTTAGGACCATCATAAAAAAGATATCCAGCTGTGTTCCAAATGAGTCTGCCATAAAACCATATTTGTTTGCAAATGAGCGTATTCCGCTAACAAACGTTTTTATCCTTTCCCTCAGGTTCAAATCACCAACTGGACACATGTCACGTAGGGTGCTATTTTCGTGATAAATATCACATTATCTTATCTTCTGTGTCCAGTTAAAATAACCGCCTGTTTATCTAGATTTTATTGCGTGGCACACCGCGATTTTAATTGTTTCTCCACGGGTGACGGAAGCCGGTCGGTCTGTGACGCACAGTAGTCTATTTTCGGACAGTGAAATTAGTCGGAACGATGGGTCACTTTTCATTAATCCAGTGGTGATCACACCTAAGTGTTTAACTACGGCTTCACCATCGCTATTATTAGCGAACTCCAAGAATGTCACCGCTGTTGAATCCGATCGGCTTAAATAAGTTTGGAGAGATAAAGTGTGTAGCATTGAGGAGTGAGTGAGAGATACAAAATGGACCTTAGAATCAAAGCGTCAAAAAATCAGATCGCAAATAGTTCATTTCCTGACCGAAATTTTGCACTGACAAACGAAACAAAACGAGATTAAGAACAGGATTCGCCAAGAGCAAACATCCACGAACAGCTGACAGTTCAGCGATCTAGCGATTTGACATTCCCGCTGTAACGTCCGTGAAGAATTCTAACCTATTTTCACCAAGTATAAGAATTGCCAGCTGGCATCAGTCACCATATGTTCCGCAAAACTAGACTCGTTGTGGCCCTTCAGATGCTGCATTCTTGAAGCCTCTGTGATAGGTTTCTAAATTTTCAAATCAGTTGACTGAATACGAGTGTAGTACGAATAATGTTTGCAAACAGCGTTCTTGGTCCTTGTCATACCGTGCATTCTTGGGCGCCTCAACCAAACCCTGCTTGTACTTTGACATGCATCCTTGTCACGCGACAGCCGGAGATATCCATCGGCCTTCCTTAATCTTGCTTGTACTTGTCGTGTGTCATATACGACGTTGTCGGGGGCCTTTCCGGTGAGCTTCTCGGTTGGATAGCCTAAAATTTTATTCTTAATAGCTACTGCTTTATTTGTCATCAAGGACAAATGGACGTATCCAAGCTATAATCATTCCAACACATCACTATTGCATTAGGATCATAACAAAGAACTACCGACTCTAGTCGACGATTTTTGCACGTTACTACAGGTGTTTTACCTGGACGAATTAGCAGACACTTTCTATGATCCCCCCATACTTTCAGCCAGTCGCCTGCCAATGCTAACCGAATTTCATAATAACTTATCCCAACAAAGATGCAGCTTGTCTGCCGCCCCATTTGATACTTTTGAAGCGTGCTCACGCACGAAGAATTCCCTTATTACAACAGTTGAGCTCTCTGTCATCGAAGTTCTCTAATTGCATTACACTGCAAAAACTAAGTGGGAAGTGGTACAATTCTATGGCCTTTCAAAGAATTTCATGCAGGAATTCCAGTTTACTCGCATTCTTCTCTAGCTCTAAGCCGGTGTGCGTCACTCCAGTAATGTCTGTGACTGAAGTGAGTAGAACCCTTGTGGCTGTAGTCAACGACAAACTAGAGGTACTTTTTGAACGTTCAGAAAATTTGTTTTTGCACTTAACTATTGATCTATTCAGTCTCCCCTTTATTTGGATAGACGTTGTCACAGAATAAGCCTCTGCCTTATAAGGTCGAAGTTAGATGCACACAACCTCCACACTAGGTAACTGAAACCGTAACTCGGTTTAACTATGTACTTGGAGAAAATTTCGAAATGAGATAAACCATCTCAATGTACTAGCTGTCAGACTTAAAAAATGAAAAACGAAGCCTTTTCTCAAAAAATACCTGTGGGCCTACGTGCATTTCCATTCAACAAAAGCACTTGATCATTGCTGTTTACACAAGTTACATCAAGTTGTTTTAGGTGAACCACACAACATACCATTGAATTTTTGTACGAAAAATTGTACCTAAATCTGTAAAAATAAATGTCGATTTCATGAACAAACTTCGAAGTTTACCGAAGTTGCGGATGGATTGCAGCTAAACCACGAAAGAACTTACCGAGTTATCAGAACTCCTGACTTTGGATCGATCCAGAATGCTTGCGCGTCTGTTTCATTCTTCAAACCGAAAGTAAGCTTCTCAGAATTTGTTTGATCCTTCACCTTAATGGACAATCCACTTCCTCCATTGGTCGCATCTAGCATTTCCGAGGCCAACAAGGTGGACGAAATCTGGTCTGCATCAAATGCCTCCACTTGTCCAATGCGTGTGCCTGGCAACTGATTCTCCAGAACTGAGAATGAATATCCCCCTGTGCTCGTGCGCTGTTGCGGAAAAAATGGTGCATTATCATTTACGTCCATCACAATCACTTCAACAGTGCACAAGCCTGTTAACTTCGGTTCTCCATTGTCCGTTGCCACAACGACAAGCCGGTGTTTTCTTTCCTGTTCACGGTCGAATGGCCCGAGAGCGAACAACTGCCCTGTTTCAGCATCGATAGAGAATCTATTATCAGGCGAGTTGTCGTCGCTGTGTTTTAATGCATAATTAATTCGACTGTTCGGACCTTCATCTTCATCTGTGGCACGAACGAATACACGGCCGGTAGCCGAAAGCCAGCTACGGTTACGTGATGTGTATTCTTGCAATGTCTGTTCGCCATCATCTTCCAGAAGTGAAAACTGATACAGGGTTTCTTGAAATTTTGGTGCATTATCATTGACATCTAATACATTAATGCCTACCGTAGTGGAAGCAACGTGTTCCACCAAATCTCTACACTCGATCGTCAGAAGTAGCCGCGAAGTTTGTTCGCGATCTAGCTTACTAGTTGTATGAACCTGATACTCATTGCCAACCACGTCTTGTTGGGCAAGACGGAAGAGTGATTGTGATTTACCAATAAGGCTGCATCGAATTATTTCTCTTCCTTGGCTATCGGGGTCACTGACCTCAACCAATGCAATCAACTGTCCAGCTGGCTCGTTTTCCACTACAGATAGTTCGGCCTCGGTATGAGATCCATCGTTGGTACGCAGTTGTCCGTTCCACGGACGAACGGGGTGCACGCGAATCGACGGTGGCTCATCATCCACGTCTTCCACCGTTAGTTTCACCGTTGCATATCCTGTTCTCGCGTAAGCAGGATCAGCACCATCAACAGCTTGAATTTCGAATACCATGGGTGTAGTTGGAAGATAGAAGCCATGAGTTGAGTCACCACCTGCATTTGGTTTATCTACGTCCAGTTTTTGACGTACTCTGAGTTCTCCATCTTGTGTTAGTTCAAAAAAGTGTTTGATTAATGGCAACTGGGGTCCAGGTGCGAAGTTATACTTAATAGCCGCATTCACCCCCTCGTCTGCATCGGTTGCGTAAACCCGAAGGAGAATTTGACCCACACCGACAGTTTCGGGGATAACGCCAACCTTCTGATTGTTCAATACTGGCTGATAGACAGACTGTGAAAATTGTGGACCGTTATCATTTATATCGGTAATATTTACATGAATCATTAACTGGCTTGAAAGTATTGGCGAACCTTCGATATTGGCGGCAATCAAAATGAGATTCCATCCTTGAGGTCGTGCCTCCCGATCCGTTTCTTGTTTTGTCACAAGAAACAATCTATTTCGAATGAACCCCGTTCCAGAAGATTCTTTGTGAAGTTCAAATACTTCAGTTCCTCTTAACCTAGTGAATCCGTTTTGTGTTGGGTATCCTTGAGGTAAATGATTATTTTCAGCTGCATCTCTTAACCGATAAGTAACCACTGCATTCAACCCAAAATCTGGGTCCGTCGCGAGAGGTAGAGGCTGTTTTGTCCCAGCAGGGTCACCATCTCTGAATAATATTGAAATCGATCTCTCTGACCAAGTTGGTGGGTTATCATTGATATCTTGCACATTAACGAAGATCTGATGAATGGCCTGTACACCATCGACGTTTGTCGCTACCCGAAGTGGAATGGTGCAGTCGTCATTAAGACGCGACGGCGACCTGGAGTCTTCAGAGCCAAGATTTGCTATTTGCAAAGGATTTTGCAGAGAGTAGCCAACTGTGTCAATATGAAAATCACTAGAAACGTGTCCATCGCCTGGAGCGGAATTGACAGCTGTTCCTGTGGATGAGGATGGACAGATAGACTCTCGATCAACACGGTCCTCAACAACCAGCTGTAAATTGTGCATCCTTGATCCAGACTGGTCATTTGTGTTGCCAAAACGAAATGAAAGACTTGAAACACCGGGATCCTTCTGGTTAATTATTCTGGGTACGTGAGCATCTGAGCTTAAGAACGCCAGCCCAAGTTGTGCGCCAGAAGCAATAACTGTTCCTGGGCGAGCTTCCTCTGTCATGTAGAGTCGCAGTCCTTCTTGAATGTTCGATCCTGCTAGCTCTGAAACATGCATATTCAGAGAAAACCACAAGCTGATGGCGACTAGCAGAGATCGGTTGAAGACTAAATGCATTTGAACATGAAAGATATGTTCACTTGTGTGGGAACCCTTTTCAACTTGCACCAGTTGTTCGTGGTCCTTTCATCATCTTCGGGGCCACAGTGATTTCAGCATGAGTGCTGTAAGACAACGTACAGGAAAGTAAAGCAGAGTAGAGCAGCTCCAAAACTACAGGTTTTGAGTTGAATCCGTTACGTGTACTCCGGAAAAAATATGGACATGATCATACGATAATACTGATAAGATCGAGCGGTGTCTATCCAACTAACACAGAATCACACCTGAGAAATTGCTATTGTTGTGTATACGGTCAAACCCGATCAACCCTCTCGGACAGTGACTATGACGTGCGCGGACTACGGTTTTGGTCAATTCCCTGTTTTGTTTGTGCATTTCGTTTTTACGAAACTGAGCGTGATTTTGAAAAGCTCGGATGTGTCTGCTTAATACGCTTTGCTGACTTCATGCGCAGATATATAACCAATAGCTGGGTGAATAACACAACTGTTCAGATCAGTTTAAAATAGTGGACAGACGACAGACTAGACAAAGTATTTTGGAGTGCTTAACATGTTCAACTGGAAGAAGTGGCAAATCTTCTTGAGATTGTTAAGTAAATGAGTGGCTTGAAAGCACATGCACCAATGCAGAGTCGCTTGAAAAAAGAAAAGTTATGTTGATTTTCTTCGGCAGAATAGGAGGGCTGAATGTTTGAAGGAATTTTATAGGCTTCCGTGACGTGGGGCGGCAAACCACTGAACCAACAAGACGACACATTCATGATCCTATTAGAGCTCATCAGCAGTGCATATCTAATGGCCTTGCAGGGATTTGAACCGCGGACACCTGAGATGCGAGGCGAGTGTGTAACCACTAGTCCACCAACGCACGTTTCACGTCTGAACAAGCCAACGTGTTCATACTTGAGTATTGTGATTGGTGTGTGATTGGTGAAGTAGCGGTTACACGCTCGCCTTGCATTTCAGATGTCCGGAGTTCAAATCCCGGCACGGCCATTGGGTATGCACTACTGATGAGCTCTAATGAGAGTGAAATTCGAGTCCAGTGCTTCCTTTTGGTGTGGACTCACCGGAATAATACTCCAGAACAGGAGGACGACCGTTCAAACGAGAGTTGTGTGGCTATGAACAAAATACCTATCCCGAAAAATCCCCAAAATTTCAATAATCAGGATCGTATGTTCAGTGTGTGAACGGGCAGATAAGCGGACGATAGCGTGAATCGAAAACTCAGCTACAACTTGAACATACAAAAAAAAACTAAAATTTAGTCACCACCTCTCTCTCTGTTGAGTGTTAGCATGAGTGTAGACTTGAAATCTGGATTGACAGCTGAAGATTTGGGGTTCGTACGGTCTCAAGTAGACATGTGAAATTAAAGGATCGTGGACGACAACTGTTCACCGTATGAGGGCATGAAAGATTGTGACCAGTCGACGCCTGCAATTAGTCGGTCGTTCATATCCAGGAATAAATCAAGTTACCGGATTGATTGCATTCCTCGGAGTAGCACCACTGGGATTTGTGTCCCCAGGCGGATAACCTGAATTTGTTGTTGCCAGTTTTTATCAACGTTTCTAAAAATATTCCAAAACATACTGGTTTTTCTATCTAACATAAAACTACTTTCGTTGAAAACCTGGATAAGTAGGGTCACTCAGTATGTCCTGGCCGCTAAACCAGAACGCGTCTTCACTTGTATGATGAATGCGTTATTTTAGACCGTTCGTCGCCAACCTAGTCAACAATGATTCGGATGAAAAAATGAGAAAGCAAAACGCATCAAGACGCATCCCGATCCATGTTTATTAGTGTTTGAAAGTGGCTTTTTTTAACCTAAAGTGGGCCAACGAATGGGTGAATACCACTTACAGTACTAAACAGGAATATTTGTTTAAATTTGGCCTTCTTGAGCTCACTATCAACTTGGCTCACTGTGCAGAAAGTTTCACAACCCGTTGTTTTCTTACAGTCCTCTTTGGCTTAACAATGTCGGAGCTACTCACTAAATTTACTCTCATTTGTGTAAACTAACTTTTTCAACTCGAATAATACGATCTAACTTTTACCTATAAACTCAACAAGTAGATATTTTGGCTTGCTTTCTTGGTAGACCCAATCTCCGACACATTCTCTTGGAACAATATGTTGACATTGCTTGGACATTGTTTAGTGAAGCAAATCAACCTGCGGCTGAATGACCACAAAAGCAAGGATCCTAAGGCGGTTGGATTTGCTTGGCTGAGCAGAACACCAACTTCGAATCCACACAAGCAAGATTTGAGTAGATAACACATAAGTCATTGAAATTTGTGTCCCTTTGTTTGCTGGTTGCGTGCTCATGAGAAAGAAGACAATCGAAGAAAATAACTCTGGGGTTTTGACCAGTTTAAATTAATTCTTCAGAATTTTTCTATATTTTACCCTTGATCACAATCTAAACAAACAAAAGAATGAATAACAGTATTTGGTGGTTGTTTCTGCTAAAAATTTGCACCATTATTGAGCGGGATAAAAGTTGGTATCGAAGTCCGATCCTATTGATTCCTCAAATAGAGGTGGGAAAGTGCGAGCTTGCACTCTGAGAGTGGTACACCGTACAGGGTCCCAAACAATGACGCAGCTTTGATATCCTGGAACATTAAGATCTTTTCCTCACAGTGAATGTAAGTTCCAAAGGAAATGTGGTTCCCAGACCCCGTGCTTACCCAGCTTTCTCCCTCACCCCATTCAGGTTCGTCCATCTATGTCATCCTTCCAGAATGATAACCACGAATTTTTGTAAAATATTTTCCCAGAACCCGTGTCCCATCAGAATCGGAGTACTTTTCCTGTTAGTTAAGTTCAGCGAATTGGCCGACGGTTTCAGAGTGACGGCTTCCCTTTGAGTAAAATTTCCTTTCGCCCAAGTTCCAGCTGAAGTACAAATGTCGTGCACTGTTAGATCAAGGTGAATCTGATATACGTAAGTTAGTATACATGTCTAATATTTTGCTGCTCAACTTTTTCTGCCGAGCACAGAAATAGTTTTGGAATTTTGTTGATTTCTGTCCTTGTTGAGCAAATTCCATTTCCATGTGTATCTAAGCTGTAGAGGCTTACGGAACCGAATGTGAATATGAACACTCTTTAGTCGTCAACACTTGTGTTGTTTTCAGTGTAACACTACGTATGACCTTGTGTCACGTGTCGTGGTCAGCACTCTCTTGTCTTACTCGATTATCATTTACCAAGACTATGCTAATGCACTGTGTAAGTGCATCAATGCAGAGGGTCAACTATATACTGGGTGTGACAGTTGGTCAGACACGAAAGGAGTGACCTTGTTTGTTGGACCGTATACAATGTTGTGCAAGCTGGAGCAATTCGCTTTTGGACGCGAGCGTGTGGATAATGAGATCTTTCTGCTGACTGAAAACCAAGTTCTCCGTTTGTACCTACAAGTTTCTCAACTTAAGGCCGTATTCGAATTCCTGGAGCTTGTGCACCCAAGACTGAACAGAACAATTCCCTTAATGTGCCTGAATATGAAACTTGGTTGGTAGTGAACAGAAATTAGACAGATACACAAAACCATGAACCATCAGATTTTCGAGCGTTAGAGAAATAGTAAAAGTGCAAGTGTTTGGTGAGTGGAAATCTGAGAACTGACAATCCCATCCGATATTCCGGAGGCTAACCTGATTTTTCAGGTTCGCACTCACATCTAGGGATATAATTTCTACCTGACAGACGGACAAAAATTCACAATTATTGTTGAAATATATGACGATAAATACATGGTTTTGTTGTGGGTGGCGCGCGTTTAGTTTTCGAGAAGCGACATTCCTCCAAGCGACTCAGCAGCTAAAAACTGAATGCAATTCCAGCAGCAGGAATACATAGAAATCACGGTGCATTATTCAGTTTTCGATAGCACACGTCAAAGGTTAGTCAACGTTGTTGATCGACCCCACTATACATCTCTTCAACCAAGATCGTTAGAGAATGTAGTCCAGCAAGTGTGGCTGCATGGTGATTGGGTTATTTAATTAAACGACTCGAAGAGTCCGGAATAAACGATGCTATGTTTTTACATGGACTTATAAGGATATGAGTTAAACTGGGTAGAGAATGTCACCCTGGTTCCATGTCTTTATATATATATATATATATATATATATATATACATATATATATACCCCAATTCAGCTCCTTTAGTCGCAAACGGTGAGCATTTTGCATTTAGGAATAGAACTCTATGAAAATCAAACGCCATACAACGTAATATGACAGAAGTTGAGGGTGAATCAGTTTCAAGGCGAGCAGCTGAATCGAAGCAACATTTTTTTCGTTCACACTTTGACCCACGTACTGTCGTTAGGATCGTCATGGACAAAGCCAATGATTTCAGACTTTTGACGAGCAGTAGAAACTTAAAGACTAAGAAACCGTAAAGCGTGTGATCTACTGCGGAAATATACTCAGTGACCATGAAGCACCTATTACTGATCGTAAACTCACAGCAAGTTTCCGGAAATCGCTCAGAGATTTGTCGAGAAAGGCTTTGGTTGATTCCATTATTCTTTGTTTCGTTGCAATTATAAATGATTTGACGTGTGAGGTAGAGTAGTACGGTAGTATTCAGGAAGCACGTTAAGGAGCAGAGTAAATTTAGAATCCTTTGCATTCGTTTTGGCAACGTCTTAACGCCTTCATTATCAATAGGATTTTTTTCGGTTTTTGTCAGTGCATGGTCTTATGATATCTCATTTAGAAACTCAGCTAGAGGAATTCTAACCACAGCTGTCTAGTGTTGTCACATACAACTTTTCAAATGGTTGCTTACGCATTATGTGTGACCTCAGTCCCCGAATCGGTCATGGTGAACAGATATAGAACGAGCTAGTCGGGTTGTTCAAAAATGAAACCGTGACTGCCAATTTTCAGGGTATGCGAATGTGGAAGTTCTCATTGCTAATCCATGACGTGGTCGGATAAGCGCTTAGTGCAGATCAGACACATCCATGGAGTGGACAAACATTGGACCGCATCACTATCCTACTAAAGGTTCTTACAAAATTGACTTTATTTCAACAAGATACACAAATGAATCCCAA